TTTACAATGTACATATTCTGAGAGCCAAAAGGATTGTAGCTTCAATATGTAAATTGCCAAGTCCAAGCTTGGGAAATTGTTCTGGATTGGGTACTATCAATACCCTAAACCCAATGCATCTTTGCAAAATTCAGACGATGGCATTGAAAAGTTGTTTATAACACTAATGTATGATCAAAATTCATTGCCCAATAATAAATGGCATCAACTTAACAGTCACAGCCCAATATGTGACTTCCTGAATTTGGTTTAACCTTTCCCTAAAAAGGGGTGAGGGAATCAACTAACACATGAGAAAATCTTCTGGACTGGTCATTTGCAACAGGCCCAACCAAAATTTATTACTTCTTTTCTTTTAACAAGATATAAATACAAACAGCATTTATAATGTACAACTTCAGTGAATATCTCATTGGGGACAAATTAAGATGATCTGCCCACTTCGATCCTTAGCACAGCTCAGTCTGCAATACTGTAATAAGTCACAGTTCTGCCTAAAAATACAAAAATGATCTCAACCCGTACACGAAAGTATTAAAGATGGTGATCAACAGCAGTCTTGTGCGTGACTTTTTAATTGCTCCAATCTTTGCATTTAATAGATTAACCCTTATTTTTTTTTTCTAATAGTTCAGTTTATTTTTGCATACAGCTTAGCACCTTCTTGATGTCTGTCCATTGTTCATAGGTGCATTCAATTGTCTCATACATTAACAGTTTTCCATTAAAATACAGGTGCTGTATTTACAGAAATTGATGGTCATGAATGCAATTTTACATGTATGTAGCACCTTTCATTCGGGGAAAAAAAAGAGAACTATACAGAGGAATTACAAACAATTTGTTCCACCCGTTGAAATTCAAGTCAAAGGTGGGCCAGGTCAACAACTATATTACAATGCATAGCCATGTTACACAACCATTTAGGCCGAGGAGGACATGTGCTTTTATGTCCAGAAAGTAGATTTTTTAATCAACTACCCAGTGCAAAAGAAAAAAGAAAAAGTGAAGAGGCCTCTAGAAGGAATCATATTCTGAGAGAGGAACTTGGGTGATCACAACTTCAGTTTTACACATCATCTGGAATGGAGCACTTCCGAGAACACTTTAAAAACCCATTGCTTTTGGAGTTGGGAGGGCAGATGACAGCGCCACCTATTAGGTCATTCCTAGGCAGTGACTCCTTGTGATACCTACAGAAATGGGACAATGCAAAATGAAATGAAACGAAAGTGTCAGAAACAAGTTTATAAAAATGGCACATTTATTGCTACAGAACAGTCATGTACATGACGGCATCAAATAACTACAAAATGGGAAACATAAAGGTCTACAGCAAGCTGTGTGTTTCGCTTTGGGGGATCTCCAGCGCACAACCTGTTTTAGACACTTCTATAAATCAGAAATACACTGAAAACATGGGGGGAAAAAATATCGAGGCACTCAGCCACACGTTGAAAAACAAAGTGTAACTGTTGTTATCTTTTTTTTTTTAATCTTTTTGTCCCTTTTATCATTTTTCCCTTTTTTATTTAATTTTTTTCCCCTCCTTTTAAAATGTTGCAGCTATGGGTACAGTCGCAAAAAAAAGTTCCCCGCTGCGACCTCCAACTTAAAAAAAAAAAAAGAGAGAGAGAGAAAGAAATAAGGGGGGAAAAAAACCAGAAGGAAAAAAAAAAAGGCTATCGTACAATTTCATCTTGGTAACACATATGTAAAATAACATCTTTTAAATAGTAAAATAAAGTAACAAACTTTTACTTAGAATGATTCCAAACATCTACAAAGAAGAAATATTCAGAATCTGACAACCCCGTCCCACCCTTTCACCCCCAATATTTGTGGTATAAAAGGATTGCTCCTGTGAAAAATAAGCCAAATATACTTTTTTTTTTAAATTTAGGCTTTTCTTTTATCCTACTTGGGTGTACTAGTCTATTTTATAGCAAAAAGGTCACTAGACAAACAAAGCTTTGTAACAAAAAGGCAGGCACTGATACATGGTAAACCTCTGCTTTTCCGTATCTTCACTTAGTTGCATCACAAGTAACAAGAATGAAAAAGGCCACAGTTCATATATTTTCACCATTACATAAGTCTATAATACTTGAAATGAGTATGGTCAAACCAGCACTGCACAAGGGTGAATCAGTTTCAAGTCCCATGAGAAGATGCTAGGAAAATGAAAAAAAGAAAGGAAGAAAGAAGGAAGGAAAGAAAGAAAGAAAGAAAAATCTTGGTGCCCCCACTGTGTTGGAATTCATTGTATTCCATCTTTAGAAAAATCTTTTTTTTTTTTCCTTTTCGTATCAGTCAGTGGATTAAGCTTGACTTGTGCTTTTTCTCACCCGATAAAATTCTCTTCGTTTGTGGCAATGTACTATTATTACACGGTCTGGCACAGGTTGCACTGTGCCTGTTGAACAGAACAATGAAAATTTCGAAATTGCTCCACATTCCTCCCACTCTATCCCCACCCGTCCCCACCCTTCCAATGAAATCAACGAATAAAACAAATCGGAAGACTGCATCAATTACAAGTTGCATCACTGGTTGAACTGACAGTTGTATAAACATTAGTGTCCTTTGCAGCTACACGTAAGACAAATGTAAAAAATAATTAAAAAAAAAATCTAGACGAACAGATTTCCTTAATCTGTGTATTCATAAATTACTTGAATGTGGAGGTGGATCATTCATTACACGTTGGATAGATTTCTACAATTGAAGTGTCCTTGTACTGTTCATTGTTGTATAACAATATGTGGTTTTTCCTTCGTACAAGTGTGCAAAGCACTCCAAATCTGCTGAATTTTCTGACAATCGTGGAAGCATCTCAAAATCTCAACACGATGCTTTGCTTCGAGCTCAAAAGACTTGCGGAATATATATGGAACACTTCAAATTCGAAACAACTTGCACACCTCTACCTCTCGGTCATTAAAAGTCATTGCCAGATCTTTTAACAAATGACAACTCCCACTGTGGACAGCAGCAGTGAAAGTTAAGCAATTCTTGATGTCTTATTTCTTAGGATCACATACTAAATTAAAGCAAGCAGAGGAGGGAGGGGAGAGGGTGAACAACAGAAAACATCATGACTGATTAATTTTCAAGTTTAAATTCCATTATGGAACAGGAAACCATGTCCAAAACCACAGAGATTAGATTACTGTTTTATAAACAACTAAGCCTCTATTGGTTCTATGTACATCACCATTTTCATTCCTGTTTAGAATCATCTCTGCTGTTCAAATGTACAGAATGGCTGGTAATGAAAACCATCTTTTTATCAATGTTCTGTGACTGCATGTTTCAAGATTCATACAATGTCATCAATCTGGGCAATTATTAAAAAGACGGCATTTTGATTTTGTGTTGATAGCTCTCTCTTATCCAAATTAAGTTTTATATACAGAGCAGACGATTTGAAAACTTTGCATTATGAATGTAAACAAGCAGAAATGCTCACACTGATGACATCAAGATGGAAGTTAACGCCTCTTTGATTTATCCAGGTTTTTAACGCAAAGTTATCCTCTGAAATAACAACTTCCCATTAAAAGTATTAGAATTGTTTTTTATAAAAAAACTTTAATCCTAAACTATATTAATAACTTGTCAATTAAAAGAGAATCCTCCAATGTTTAGAATACCAGTACTAAAAGAATTAGGTTTAAGACAAAACATTTTCATCTACACATATTCTATTAGAAGTATGGCATCTGCGATGAAATACTCATTTCTTGTTCTGATTTCAACTTACACAGTCTCTGCTCTGTTATGAGCTTAATCCACCTCCACATTTGAGAAACTTATTAACAAATAATAGTATTTTTAAAAGTTTTACTGCTACTGAACATATTTACAATTTTCAACACATACAGGTAATCAAAATGTTTATGGATATGGAAAGGGTGGTTCACATGGCAAACTACCATATTTGTTCTTTTAGCTTTTTCAGTAACATAAAATTAAGATTCTTATTTCTCACTATTTCATTTAAATGAGATTTTGTTTCAACCACAGTTTAAAAAAAAAGCAAAAGTTTGATACAATGTATTAAAACACATAATAACAAGAGTCTACATGTAAAAATATAACTTTTACATACACAATTTCAAAATAATGATACGTTTGCCATTTTGTTGCATAAAATTTACAAATGTATTTTTTTTTTCATTACTATGTAACTGGCAAAACAGGAGAACAGATGGAAAGTCTATAGACCGTTTTCAATGGGTATATGGCATTTACTCAGTGTTGATAGGTGGAAAATCTATTCAAACCGGGAGATTTCGTTTAAAAATAACATGCCAAGTTTGCGTGGCTATTTAAAAAAAAAAAAATCAGAAGCTTGAACCCGAGACAAAAAGATGCTGACAAAGACTGAATTGGGAGCAATGTCAGTTAATTGTTCTGTCTCCCAAAGTAAATCTTTGGAAGATTCACTGTGGGTGCTTGTTGAGATGCCCTGAAATCCAATTATTGGATGAGTTGCTGTGTCATAAGCTTGATCTATACCAGGGGTGTCAACTCAAGACCCGGGATGCTTAGATCTGGCCCACGGGCCATCCTGGAAACAACAAAGGACGGCCCGCGGTGCTTCTGCCAATGAAAATGGCCTCCCGGGCTCCGTTTTCACTGGCAGAGGGTTGCAGGCTGTGGCAGCTGAAAACGGAGCTCGGGAGCTCGTTTTTGCTGGCAGAAGCACTGCGGGCCGTCACAGGCACTCCAACACATGTGACATTGAGTTGGCCACTCCCACCCCGGCCCCCCAAGGTCAAACACAACCCTGATGCAGCCCTCAATAAAATCGAATTTGACACCCCTGATCTATACTTTCTATAATGTATATGCGTTAAGTAAAAACTTGGTTCATACTGGCCAGAAAAATACTGTTCTACTCCCTCCTCCTTAAGAAAGTGCAACTTAATGCTTTAGAACGGGTAAGGCTTGTTCTAATGCTGTGTGACAGTTGGATATTGGCGTTTTTTTAAAAAAAAATGAACGGAGGAGGCAGTATATGGTCTGTCTTTCAGGAATACCCTTTAAAATGTTTTTTTTTTTTTTTTCAAATCAAACTCTCATACGACTAGCAACTGTCCCCCCCCTCACCCGGCCTTCGACCATGTATTCTGAAACACCTCGATGCATATTGTATTTAAGCTACACACATTAATTTAACATTTCTACTGGTTTGTTAAATCACAGCCACCTTTGATTTATGTTACATTTTTTTGATGATATAAACATTGGAAGGCACAGTGGTAACATTGTAGCATTCTAACCTTGTACCTCTGAAAATCTTAGAAATAGGGTCTAATGAGAGCAACAGTTGTGGTTTAGAATTCTCCACCACTCCACCCCAAAATTCAATTGCCTGGGCCATTTTCCCCCCAAACTTGTGTTGACTGTAGGGGAGGGACTAGAGCCCCTCAGAATTCCTAACCGACATCCCAGCAGCAGTCTGGGAAACCATAGTACCGAACTTCCTTGGGGCTTGGAGGTCTCAGCAATGTGGCTTACGCTTATCGACATGAGACATACCTGATCTAATCCTGTATTCTCCCCAAAGGATTCAAGAGATTGCTTGCTACTTTTCTGTAGGCATGACAAGCAACCTCAGGGTGAGAATTCATCCTGGAACGGCCCCTCCAGCAACAGAGTTGGCACTACAGGTTACAATAAGGAACCGAAGGGGCCAATGGGGGAAGAGAAAGAAGACGTCAACAAAAACTTATTTACAGTAAAATCTTTTTTTCTTAAAAAAAGTTAATCAGTACTTTGTTTTTTCTTTCTTTTTTTTTTACAGGAGCAAAAAAGTCGGAAACAAATGAACAAAGCTTACCATAGTCACTAATTTTAATATATATATATATATATATTTATATATATATTTATATAATATTTATATATGTGTGTTTGTGTCCATGTGTTTTGTATTTTGACATAGGTCTATAAGATCCATCTGTTCCTCCTACCCTAAGGAATGGCTAATGTCATTACTTCAGTTTTCATTAGGACGTTTGCTGGTTTTGTAAATATTAGGGTAGCGAAGCATCCCTTTTTAATATCCAGTAAGTATAAACACTAGTTGACTAGTACACCAATGAAAACGTTCATTTTTTTTCTTCAGAAGTACACTTTTCATTATTGCAAGTTTACAATTTTTAAATTAAATATTTTTTTTTTTCAGACTTACAAATTAATTATATTTTTTTTTCCAAAAGAAGTTTAGGCACAAATGCATTGTCCCACAGTGTGGAGAAGATTGCCGTTCAGTCTCCTGGCTGTGCATTGACAGCTGTCAACATACTCCTTGAAACATTCCAATTGATATGTTGAAAAGAGGTTGTCCCTCAAGTTGCACTTTTGTTTTCTTTATTTCAAAATCAGGAATGCTGAAATCTCTTGCGTCTGTGATTCGTAACTACTCAGACTTGTCTTATTATATTACAAAAAAAGGGAGGGGGAAGGGTTAAGTGTTTATATGTTTTTTTTTAAGATAATACAGCTGTTTAAGGAAGTGGTCTCTGGTTTATGTGAAGAAAATGTGGCAACTTGGACCTGTGAAAGAAGCGGAAAAATTTCAGGTCAGCTAAAATGCAATCATCTTTATTATTCTTAATTTTATTTCATAACAACATATTCAGCATAAAAAAAAAACGGTTTTGGAAGCTGTTTCCAACAGTCCTTACTCTATCACCCAAATGAAGAGGCTTACTGCTCTTCTGGAAACATGTGGAAGATTTTTCAAACTTCAGGTTCAAAATACAGAGGCAGAATAAGTGGACTGAGCATGTGCTGAATCCTTACAAGATGGTTGAGTCTTGTGTCCCAAAGGTGCTTTTAGAATAGAATAGCTTTATTGGCCAAGTGTGATTGGACACGCAAGGAATTTGTCTTGGTGTAAATACTCTCAGTATACATAAAAGAAAATATACATTCATTTTTGCAAGAGGCAACTGGACTTTCTGGTTTTTCTTTGGCTTCTTCTTCCTCAGCTCATCTTCCTCTTTCTGGCTTCTTCAGCTCATCTTCTTAGATGAGAAGCTAAATGTCTTCAAAGAAAAAACAGAAAGTCCAGTTGCCTCTTGCAAAAGCACCTTTGAGACAACCATGACCTGGATGACTGAGCATCTCCATAGATGTTAGGTCTTGTGGTTAAGGCCACTAGAAGCCAGGAGAATGCGAGTTGTAGTCCCACCTTAGGCATGAAAGCCAGCTAGGTGATGCAGGGCCATTCACCAGGAGACTGAGTTCTAGTTCTGCCTTAAGCATGAAAGGCAATAGGGTGACTTCGGGCAGAATAAAAAACAAATAAATGAAATGAAATAAAGGTAGTCTTTGACATGGCCACAATTGAGCTCAACATTTCTGTTGCTAAGCAAGGCAATTATATTAAGTGAGTTGGGCTCCATTGCTACAAATGTTAAGCAAATCACTGCATTAAGTGAATCATGCAGCTGTTAAGCAAATCTGCCCTCCCCCATTGGCTTTGCTTGTTGGAAGCCATCTGGGAAGGTTACAAATGATGGTCATGTGACTCCAGCAGACAGAGACTGTTATAAATACATGCCAGGTGCCAAGTGACCGAAATTTTTTTTAAAAAATAATTTATATTGAGTATATACATTAAAAACATTGAATAAGGTGGTCTTCTTTGACATACATTTCTGTCAATACATTTTGCATTTAGAAAGATAAAGAAGTTATGTACTTTTATATAAATTTATATACATATATACATTTAATCTCTGTAATTTTTAGATCTTTCTCATTGTTCCTCAAATATGAGGTCCCTCACCTTTTCCCTATTTCACCTTAAATTCTTATTTCAATTTTATGAACTCTCTTTCATGTCCCTCCAGAAATAAAATGTATTCCATATTTTATGGTATTCTGATTCATCTTGATCCTTCAATTCTAATGTCAACCTATTCATTTCAGCGCACTGTAATATCCTATCAATCGTAACATCCTCACTAGGGATTTCACTTGCTTTCCAGTTTTGGGTGAATATCAATCTTGCTTCTGTAATTACATATAAATTAGATAGCAATTGGCTTTGCTAAATTTCTCTTCCATTATTCCCAGTAAGAACAAATCTGGTTTGTAACGAATTTTTAGCCCCGTCATTCCCTCTAGCCATGACCAAATTCTGTACCAGAACCCCTGAGCTTTTTTACAGGACCACCACGCATGATAGTAAGTGTAAGTTCTTTCAAACACTTCCAACAATTGGGTGATTGGTTTCCATACATTTTGGCTAGCCTAGCTGGTGGGAGATGCCACCTATAAAACATCTTGTACAAGTTTTCCTTGTATGATGTAGCTAGTGTTAGGAGCCTCTGTGGCGCAGTGGTTAGAGTGCAGTACTGCAAGCTGCTTCTGCGGCCAGCTGCCTGCAATTTGGCAGTTCAGATCCCACCAGGCTCAAGGTTAACTCAGCCTTCCATCCTTCGGAGGTGGGTAAAATGAGGACCTAAATTGTTGGGGACAATATGCTGACTCTGTAAAACCGCTTATAGAGGGAGGAAAAGCACTATAAAGTAGTATATAAGTCTAAGTGCTATTGCTAGTGTAATCTTTTTGTTTCCCTCCCAAGTTTGCTGCCATGGGATTTTGACCATGTGACACTGGGGATGCTGCAACCGTAGTAAGTGTGAAAACTGGCCATAAGTTAATTTTTTTCCAGGGCTGTTGTAACTTTGCATGGTCACTAAACAAATGGTTGTAAGTCTAAGGATTACTTGTACAATGGAAGGAGGGAGATACCGACATTGCTAAAGTTACTAATTTCCCAGTAGGATGAACTCCTGTTGGTGAAAAAATTCCTTCAGTAAAGAAATTCAGGGAAATAATTTTAACTCCATTCTTCTTGTTCCACATCTACAAAACCCGCTGAATTTCCTGTAACCTGTTTGGTAAATTATCTGTTAGTGACTCAGTCCTGACATATAAATGTGTTCCCATTATGTCATACAAATAGAACATTTTTATGAAGTATTCTGGGGAATTTGGGGAACATAGAATAAATTCAAATTGGCAGTTATTGTTGTTGTTCTGTCAGAACGCTGGCAGGATCCAGCCAATGTGTGTAGCCAACCCCCAGAATGTTTTCCATGTTCATTAGGTATTCTGATGCTATGCAACAAGAGAAACAAACACGTTCCTAATTTGTGATTGTGTCTGATCTGGTCTAGATTTCTTCCTCTCACTTAGACCCATATGAGAAAATTGAGCTACAAAGCAATAAATAAAGGGATATAATAAAGACATGACAGGGTGGAGTTAGTTGTTCACTTAATTAAAAAAGAGAGCAAGAGAAGCTAACAAATAAAACAGAATGTAGCAAAAAGCAATTCAAATGAGGTATTAAATTAAGACGAAAAATAGTATTGGATTAAAAAAAAAGAGTGTTATCTATGTAATTGATGAATATGGAAGGGTTTTTTTGGTTGCCTTTGAGTCAATCTTGACTCTTGGCGATGGCCTGCAGTGTCCCTGCAGTTTTCTAAGCAAGATTTGGGAAGTGGTTTATCTTTATTTTTTTCCTCCTACGACTGAGAAGAGACTACAGATAGTCCTCAACTTACTGCATCACAGTTGTGACCATAATCTCAGCTGTATGTTGTTATGGTCATCAGTTTTTCTACCATTTTACATGGGGTTGTTAAATGAACCATGTGTTCCTAAGTACAAAGCACGTGGTCATTAAGCAAATCATATAACTGGAAACCTGCATCTATTCTCCTGAATGGGTGTTTGTTTGGGATTTTTTGGTCAGAAACTTGTAAAAAAAAAAGGCTAGCAACTGGTAAAAAAAACCCTTCCATTGCAAACTGCGATCATATGATCACAGCATGCTACAAATGGTTGTAAATGTGAGCTTTGTATCTAAGGCAGAACTAGAACTCACAATCTCCTGGTTTCTGCACCATGGAAAGGCCCTTGTGGAAAGAAACAGTAGAACAATATTTGTTCTAAGGAAACTAATAGCCATGGTATTATTGTCACTAGGAGGAGACTGGTGAATAGAATAGAATAGAATAGAATAGAATAGAATAGAATAGAATTCTTTATTAGCCAAGTGTGATGGGACACACAAGGAATTTGTCTTGGTGCAAATGCTCTCAGTGTACATAAAAGAAAAGAGACATTCGTCAAGAGTCAAGAATCATAAGGTACAATACTTAATAATAGTCATAGGGTATCTAAGGCAGAACAATCAAATCATAAGAAACCACTAGAGAGCATTTCACCAAGGCAGCCGTCGTCGTCGCCATCTTGAATTAATGGTCAAGACATACGTACCTTTTTCCTTTTTTTTACATCTGCCCCATATGATTAGATGTGTCTCCCATCCCAGGGTGGGGTCCCGCCAAAGAAAGTGGAGGAGGGTCCGAAGATACTTTCTCTTCTTCCCTTCTTTTCAAACACGCCGCTTTAGGATTCAGATTTCTTTCTGTGAAACCAAAATTTAAGGTAACATTAAACAACTTATAGGGTTCCAAGTAACATATCCATAGCAAATGAAACTCTGAGGCAGGTAGACTCCTCAAAGAATAAGTTTATTGGATAGGTCATATTGGCACGGGCTGGTGAAAACTGACTCTGACTATTCCCATGGATTTTACCTAACTAAAAGTTTTTCACTTTCTCAAAACAGTCACATGGTCCAATCAGGATACTGTCCAATTGCTAAGTCCCCTCCTTCCGTGTACCTGCAGGAATGTCCTTGATTCCCAAGAGAAAGTATTTTGTTTGACTACAAACCCCAACTATCTCTATTGCCCCCACCCTGTCCTTCTTCAGGGTGTCAGTGCTAAAGTCTCAAAATAGCCTCAGTCTGGCTAGCTTCAGGGCTGACAACAACCTTTAAAGCCTGTGGCCTAGCTACTTTGTGCGTTCAAGTATGACATCTTGCTCATCCTGCTGTCAGTTCCTTCAACTGGCCAGGAATCTCCATTATAAAGAGAAATAATTTTGATTCTCTGAATCTCATATCTCTGGCTAATTTTCCACTTAAAGATTGTCTTCATTTCATCTCCAGGTCTCGCCCATCTCAATTTGTGACATTTGAGATAGAGATTCACCTGTATTTCAAAACAATTGTTAATTCAAACCAGAAGTTTAAAGTTATTTTAATCACTGCAACTTAGCACTGGTATTGTACAACGTAATTTATCTACAGTACTAAACATAGTAACCCCCTTAGGAGTTTGGAGTAATAATCATCACTGGATTGATAACACAATTGACAATGAATTTTGTGATACTGGTTTATTTCACTTTATTCCTTTATTAAATTTATATGCCACCCATCTTACTGTCATGTGACTCTGGGCGGCTTACAAACATCGTAAAATAACAAAAATTAAAAATGAGATAAATAGAAATTAATTACGTTAAAACCAAAATACTATGGGGTAGCATGTGATTTTCTTCCTATTCCACTAACCACCTCCAACGCATAATGCCCCCATCTTATAACTGAATTATAAATGACTTAAAATTGGGGACTTGCTTCTTGGGATCCAAGCTTTATTTTAGCCATTTCAATTATACTACTTTGTAGTGTAAGGATGATCCTTTCATAGCAGTTTAACATAGCAAAGTGGTGCCCTGGCCTGTATGGCTTCAGACCAAGGTTTTAACAAGCATCCTTATGACCTGGAGGCATCTAATCCATCACCGCATCATTAGTGAAGCACAGTAATCCTTCTAAGATCTAAGCTTTCTAGTCTTTCTTCAAAACATCTGAATGAGGTTGAGATTTGCAGAATGATTGTATAAAATTAGCCGTAACTCACCTCTGACTTGCTGCTCTAAACTGAGGATAACTGCTACAGCTTGATGTAAGATTAAAAGTTTGGTCTGGGGCTTGTCGCTTTTTAGATGGAGCTGTACCATCCGGCCCAGCTCTTTGAAAGCCTCGTTGATGTCACGGACACGCAGGCGCTCACGGGCGTTGTTGGCCATTCTTCTTTCCTTCTCGCGCTCTGCTTTTTGTTCCGGAGTAAGATCTTCATCGTCATTATTGCTGAGAGGGAACATTAGCACAGGATTTTCTAATGGGGTTGAAACTTCAGGTGTTTTATCAACATGTTACTCTCTTTCAAAATATGAGCCTTACTTAAAAGGAACACAGGAACATAAAGCTTTAGCTGCATTGAATAGTGTGAATGAGCAAAATGCTTCAAAAACAGTCATACGTGCCAATATATGGTTTCATTGGTATCTGTCAGATTGAATGTAATAAACAGTACATACATCAGTGAAAGAACTACAACTGTAGCATGACTTTTGATATATTCAAGACATTGGTCTGCAATCGTTCTAGACAAAATCAGAGACTTTTCCTTTGGCTTAATGGATAAAGTAAGTCTTTAGTAAGACTATTAATATTATTCTTCTCATCTTTCCTATTACCTATCTCCTTTTCTACTTATGACTATAACTTTGTTGCTTGTATTTTTATGGTTTATATTGTTTTATTTAGTTTCCTAGTATGATTTATGTAGATTCTAAGTTATGATTTATGATGAATGTGTTTTTACGATGACTATGATCATGATTTTTCACTTAAAGCTTTTATGTACAATGAGAGTTTATGCACCGAAGACAAATTCCTTGTATGTCCAATCACACTTGCCAATAAAGAATTCTATTGTATTCTATTTGCAAAAACAAATTGGAATTTTGATGGTATATATGCTGACAGCAGCAGAATATTCTATGCACAAAAATGGAAAGATACTTTGATTCTCACAATGGATAAATAGCTGCAAAAGTTGGAATTAGCACAGATGGCTAAATTGACTGCTTTAATTAAAGAAAAGAATGCAATTCATTTTGTTTCTACTTGGAAACTGTTTTTGGATTTTGTGATTGAGACAGAAAAAACCCGAAAC